CAAACCCTAAACCCTAAACCCTAAACCCTAAACCCTAAACCCTAAACCCCAAACCCTAAGCCCTAGGCCCCAGTTCCTGAACTGTGAAGCCCTGGGCCTAAACCGCTCCAACAATGCAGGCCTCTAGTGCAGCGCCACTAGCAAGGGCAAACGCTGGCGCTTGGCGTTGAGGGTTCAGGGTTTAGGGTTTAGGGTTTAGGGTTTAGGGTTTGCACCAAATGCCCTTCTTGGGGTCGTCCAAAAAGAGGGGCCCCAGAAGCTCCGCCTTCCCTCGGGACAAATCGAATACGCGGAGAGTCACTAAGGCCCCCCCCTTGAGCATTTTGCCAAACCCTAGACCCTAAACCCTAAGCCCTAAACCCTAAACCCGAGGCTCAGAGGCCTGTGTCTGCAGAAGACAGCAGTCGGCACATGTCTGAAGGAGCTGCTGCTGCTAGGGTTTGCGTTTAGGGTTTGGGGTTTAGGGTTTTGCTGCGGCTGGAATCCCTCCGAGGTTGTATTGCAACAACGGGAAACACCGGGGCCAAGGGTTTAGGGTTTAGGGTTTAGGGTTTAGGGTTTGGCGTTCGTCAGCTCTTGCGATTCTGCTGCCTCCAAAAAACGAAAAGATGCAGCGGTGCAGTGGCCTCCGAGCAAAGGCCCAAAAAGTAAAGCAAGAACTGAACCCTAAAAGCAGGAAACCCTAAACCCTTTTTTAGGGTTTGCAACCCCCCCTTTGCGCGCTTCTCAGGCGCCCAAACACCACAAACTCGTGTCAAAACTAAAATTTAAATTCTTTCTAAAAGTTAAAAACTCAGATCTGCCTTTGTTGAACAGGGTTTGCACCAATGGTCCACCAGAGTCAGCAGGGGGCCCCCTGGGGGCCCCACCGGGGGCCCTCCACGGGGCCCCCAGAGAGTTTTGAGGGGGCCCCATGGCTCTTTTTATGATTTTTCGTTTTAATTCAGTTATTGGTTGTTTCAGTTTTTCGTTTTTTTGCAAAAAGAACGCAAGGAAGGATACGGAAGGTTTGGGTGTACGTACACCTGCGAGCGGCGACTGACCAGTGCCGACGCACACAAGTCCATTTGGCGCCTCAGAGGGGGAAAGCTGCATTTAAAATACAAAAAAGGTGTTTTAAAATCAACTTAAATTAAAATTAAATGCACATTTATCGCTGAAACGCAAACTTACTCCCCTCGCCAACTCAGGTGTACGTACACCCGAAAAAATGAAGCCACTCGCTGCTGCGCAGCGCATGCGCGCCATCCTCGTGGGGCCCCCCAGTTTACCGAAAGGAAGCAGCTTTGGGGGGCCCCTTGAGGGCCCTGGGGGTCCCCCTGGGAGCCCCGGGGGGGCCTCTAGAGGCCCCCATGGGGGCCCACAGGGGGCCCCCTATCTGTACCTGTCTGAGTGCCCTCTCCCGAAGTTGAGGCCAAATGAAATGCTAGTCCGAGTAGGAGCTGCAGGGGTTAATCGCATGGACCTCTTACAGAAAGCAGGTAAACCCTAAACCCTAAACCCTAAACCCTCAGCACAGACCTGTCCAGGCTGCTGGAGTCCTCCAAAACTGCAGGGCCCTCACCGCGCACTCCCTTGAGAGATTCCCACAGTTCATCACAAAGGAGTTAGGGTTTAGGGTTTAGGGTTTAGGGTTTACGACTCAGGCAAATACCCCCCACCCCCCGGAACCACCGACATCCTGGGCCCCGAGGCTGCTGGGATCGTCGTCTCCAGCTCCGTCTACAAAGAGGGTACTCCTGTCGCCTGTCTTTTGCCTGGTGGGGCCCCCACAGTGTCCCCCTTGGAGGCCCCTCTTGGGGGCCCCTCGTTGGGGGCCCCCAACCAGGGGCCCCCATTGGAGGCCCCCAAACGGGGGCCCCCATTGAGTTTAGGGTTTAGGTTTTAGGGACCCCCCATAGGGGGCCCCCGACAGGGGGCCCCCATAGGGGCCCCCAACCAGGAGCTCCTAAATAGGGGGCCCCAATATCGGGGGCCCCCAAGGCTGGTGGGGGCCCCTGCGTGGGGGCCCCCTGCTGGGGGCCCCCTGCTTGGGGGCCCCCTGCTTGGGGGCCCCTTGATTGCGGGCTCCCTGGTACCCTTAGGGCCCCTCTGGCAGTCGTGGGGGCCCTTGTTTGCTAGAGGCCTTGGGGGGCCCCTACAGAGCTTGCGTGTTGCAGTCTTGTGAAGTTGCCTAACCCTAAACCCTAAACCCTAAACCCTAAACCCTAAACCCTTTGGTGCGTTTTCAGGAGGCGGCTACGCGGAGTACGTGGCTGCTGACCCAGCCCTTTGCTTCCCAATTCCCTCAAATCTCACTATTAGAGAGGCAAGGGTTTAGGGTTTAGGGTTTAGGGTTTGGGGTGTGGGGTTTGGAATTTAGGGATTTAGTTTAAGGACTTAAGTGTTTAATGGGAAACCTCACAAACCTCTGTTTCGACTTTGTGCAAACAATCGATAAACACTAGCAGCTTGTAAACCCTAAACTCTAAACCCTAAACCCTAAACCCTAAATGTGGGCTTTCTGCTGCCTTTAGGCCGCTTGCATCCCGGAGAACTGGATAACTGCATATCAGCTGCTTGAAGAAGTTGCAAGTAAGGGTTTTAGCTAGGGTTTAGGGTTTAGTGTTTAGGGACTAGGGTTTAGGGTTTAGGGTTTAGGGTTTGGCCTGCGGCCTCAGGGCTCTCGGACTTCAAAGCGAACGGGGGCAAACCCTCCGGCATAAAGCACGCCCTTGTGTACGCAGCTGGCTCAGGTAAACCCTAAACCCTAAACCCCAAACCCCAAACCCAAAACCCTAAGCCCTACACCGTTAGGCCTCTAAACCCTAAACCCCAAACCCTAAACCCTAGCTGCTGCGCCTGTGTGCTGATGCCTCGCAGGGGTTGGCGTGGCTCTGCTGCAGCTCTTTAGGGTTTTCATTCCTTCAGTTTCTGTCATTGCGGTTGCGGGTTCAAACGAAAAGCTGCAGAGGGTGAAGGAGCTCGGTCAGATTAGGGTTTAGGGTTTAGGGTTTAGGGTTAAGGGTTTAGGGTTTAGGGTTTGCGTCTGCAATGCTTGGGGCTGCCACCGGATGCAGACTTGCGGCTTCCTGTGCTCCGGGCGGCTCTCTCTTGAAGCACGCCGTTAGGGTTTAGGGTTTAGGGTTAAGGGTTTAGGTTAAGGGTTTAGGGTTAAGGGTGTAGGGTTTAGGGTTTAGGGTTTAGGGTTTGCCTCAGGTGCGGCGGTCTGTCTGAACTACAAAGAGTTGGGAGATTCTCTTGGGGACGAAGTGCTCAAAGCAACGGGCGGCCAGTAAACCCTAAACCCTAAACCCTAAACTCTAGCAAAAAGCTTAAACCCTTAATCCTAGCTTGGAAAGGCAGCTAGCTGCTTCCGATGGGCAAGGGTTTAGGGTTTAGGGTTAAGGGTTTAGGGTTTCGCGCACTCTTTGAGACACAGAACGCAGCTCGTTCAAAAGAAGATTTAATAAAAAATAAACAAACAAACAAATAAATTTAAAAAAATAAATAATAAATAATAAATAATAAATAAATAAATAAATAAATAAATAAATATTTATTTTGGACTGCAGGGGAGTAGATATAGTGCTGGACTGCGTCGGAGCTTCTCTTGTAAACCAAACCCTCAAAAGCCTGAAGACGGATGGAACGTGAGCCAAACGCTAAACCCTGAACCCTAAACCCTAAACCCTAGACGCAAAACCCTAAACCCTAAACCCTCGCAG